AGAAATTTTATAATTTACCTCTTCCGGGTAAGTTGCTTTCACCACTGTCTAATCTTCTTTTAATAACAGTTATTTATAAAAAAAATATTTATAATTAATTTAAAAACAAATTATATACATAATTGGAAGTTGACTTTAACATAGTTTAAATTTGAAAATAATATTTATGTTAGTAATAAAATTTTTAACGTTAATATAGAAAAAATGTTTATAAATAGTTTAAAATAATTTGTAAACTGTAGTTTAAAAAAAACTCTGTTTTTGTAATTTAATTTCTTATAACTTAATTTAAATTAATTTAGATATTTATAAATTTTTATACAACTTTATGTTAAACATGTATAACATTTATACAACTTTTATGTTAAAAAAATTTAATGAAAAACACCATAAACATTTTTATATTTTAGTATTTTTAAGGTGGTACACCACCAAATATTCTAAAATGTTCAAACTTAAAAAAAAAAGAGATAAATTTTATATCAATAAAAATTACATTAATATAGAATGCTATTTTATACTTTATTTTACTTTGCCTCGATTACTTTGCCTTAAATTTATCTAAAAACATTCATTTTAATGGGTCCATTCAAAACACAATTACTTGAAATATATTAACACATCATCCATGAAATTTTTTACTTATGTTCTACGCATGTAAGGTAAGGTATTGACATTTGGATTTAAAGATTTTCAAATTACATAAAAAATTATATCAATTTTTTTACATCAAGTAAAAAAAAAAAACTTTTTTAGAATTTTTATTAAAAAATTAAATTATAAAAAATAATTGGAGCAGAATTTAAAAATTTTGAAATGTTATGCCCAAGGAAAATTTAAAATAAACATTTCCTGAAAATTTGCACTTCTGCTTCTCAAGATATCATGTTTACAATCAGACAATTTTTCGCAAAATTTGAAAACAGAGAAAAACGCAGAAGAAAATTAAATATTCTCATCATTCTTAAATATTTTTTTACTTATTTAATCGAAAAATTAAAAAGTAAGTTGAGAATAAACTTTATATTATTATTATACAACAAGCTGCCTTTCAAATGAGCGAAATATCAAAAATTCACTTTTTTTTTACAATTTTCAGAAAGTATTTGGTGCTGTACCACCTTAAATGTTTCAAAAATAATAAAAAAATTATTATCATTTTAAATTTGTTGAATTAGAAAATTGCAGCATGAGAGATATCTGTTAAACTAGAAGGTGCATAGTTTAAAAATTGAAAAATTCATTATCTCAAATAATTTAAAATTATGTACGTTTAATATCTTTTTTCTTCTCAGCAAATTGATGAGATTTTCCTCAAGATGGTATACAAACAAGTAGCACCATGATACAGAGCCTTTGTTAAATGTTAATATATAAAAGTATTGATATAATTTTCTAAGGTTTGTCACAATAACAACAAGATATTTTATATTTTATGTCAACAAATGCTCTGCAAACTACGGAATGATTTTCAACATTTGATTCATCCACTGCAATTAATTTTTGAAAAATCTCAACTATGTTACGAGCAAGATCTTGTTTCGAAGAACTGTCATTATTTGCATAATTTCTTGTGCGTGTAACACTCATTCACAAATTTATACAGCCATTTGATAATACATTAATATTAAAATTGCTCCAATGAGGCAATGTTTACCGATATTCCATTTTTTTAAATACAGTATCTAATTAGTGCAAATTGAGGGACTAAAAGAAATACAAAATAATTATTGCATCATAATTTTTAATAATCTCTAAAAATTTCTTGTAAATTTTAGGCAAATCCAAAAATCAGTTTGACTTATGAGTTTTTTTTTTCTAATTAACAGCTGACTCTAACTTTTTACGAAATGTTCGAACACTAATAAACAATCAACATCAATTATAAAAAATAAACAAAATAAATTCCATCATTAATAAACAATGTAACAAGCTAAATTTGCATAAATTGAACAAGCAGATTTTGGCCAGCTAAAACAGTTTGAAAAATTAATTTTTGTAGCTATTTCAAAAAAGTTTTAATTTAAAATTTTCAAGCAAATACAACATACTTAAATATACTTTTATTTTAAAAAATGTTAAAACAAAAAATATTTTTTCATTTTAATATTTAAAATCTTCAAAATTTTTTTGTGAGAGACTGTTGATTTATTGTAAAATTATTCAGACATTTCGGTGTAATAAAAATGAGTAATAGAAAATTTAAAAACATTTCTATGATAAATTTTCAACCAATTGGCATAGATTTTAAAAATAATTTGAAATAGAATATTAACTAGTTTTCCATATAGTAAAGACTTTAAAAAAACATCCAATAGTGTAAGGATCTTTTAATATACAATTCAGACATTATGTTTATCTGTAAACTTCTTTTAATGTAAAACTGATCCAAAACATATTTTAAACGAGTTTGATTATTCTGACATATTTCACGAAAATATTCCCATAAAAATAGTGTTATAACTTCTGAGTAATATTTACATTGATCAATGAGTAATATTTACATTGACAGAATTGGTAAAAACTCAATACATCTAAAGTAAAAAACCTATTTATCAATAACTACATTCGTTTTTAATTGACTGCTAATTTTAAATTAGCATTGAGGTTTTAAAGAGATTGCAAAGAAATTATATTAATCGATCCAAAAATAGTACAGTTTCTTTAATCCACAATGAACAATGGCTTTTTTAATTTCATCGAAACTTTAAACCATTTAACAAATATAAATATTTTAAGATTTATGCTTAAAATTAGCAACTTTGAGTTCGAAATTTTATCCACAGTAGGTATAATATAGTTAAAAAATAAACAAACACAATTAAAACAACACTCTAACATATTTCTGCCATTTCTTTTACAAATTAGACTAACAGTTGCGTAAGAGTTTGGCAAAACAATAATATTTGGTACGCGTTAAAATTTCGTTCCTATTACGGATTTTCAGCCAACAATATTGTAATAATAATAATATTAATAATAATATTCATTCGGCTATTCATTATAGAGATCTTTTCCTGAGTGCTCTTAATCTTTTAAATGTTCTGTTAATTGTTATCATGCTCTATAGCCTTCATCGTCAGTCTTGTTTGAAACAAAAAAAACCATGTTTAAATATTTATTACTATTATAATTACAAACTTTGATTAAAAACCTTTAAAGATTTAAAGGGTTTTATTGTTTTTATTGTTTGTTTTTTATATATTTTTTTTAAATTTCTTTACTTCTGCCATTCTACTAAATTATTAAAGTTTTTCTACTGTGGAAATATGATTTTAATTTAGTAAATTTTGATGATTTTAAATTTACTTTATAATTGATAAGCTAACAGATTAGGAAAAGAGCTTGAATCAAGGTAATTATTTTGTTTTTTTGGTAACATTAAGAAACTTGTTAATGCTATTAAACACGTTACAGCTAATCATACTAGGCCAGGAGAATAAAAATAAACACTTTTTTTACTCAGTAGTTGGTCAGCATTATGTGAAAAAAACCTCAGCAGTTTTTCTCATATTTTTATTCACGTAAAATTAAGCAATTTACTCAGAATAAAAACTTAAGCAAAATTGTTAAAGTTTTTTTTCACAAAAAAGCTGACAAACTACTAAGTAAAAGATATTGCTCCTTACTATTCACCTATCCTAACGAAAATAATAATTTTTGTTACAATATTGTAATAATTGTAAGTGATTTGGTTGTTATGGCGTTTATTTTTGTTTTTAAACCAAATTATTTACTACAAAGCCAAATCACTTACTTATTGTAAGTGATTTGGTTTTATAATAAGTGATTTGGTTTTAATTTTTTTAACAAAGTTTAAAATAAATTTTCTCGTTTATCAACAGTACAATCAAATGTATAGCGTTAGTTGAATCTCTAACTAGTTCGATTTCGCTAATGAAAGACAATTAATATATTGCAATATAAAGCAGATATCTAAAGTACAAATCATTTTATAGGTGTCAGAAGTACACCTATTTAAACACAGCTATCAAAAGAGCAAACTATGCGATAAAAGTACAGCCATCAAAAGTATAAACCATGTAAAAAAAGTCAAAAGGACAGCTAATAAAAATACAAATAATATAATAGAACCCAAAAGTACAGCCGTCAAAAGTACAAATCATGTAATAGAAGTCAAAAGTACAAATATTAAAAATACAAATCAAAATAGAAGTCAAAAGTACAGCTATTACAAATAAAAATCATATAATAAAAGCCAAAAGTACAGCTTAAAAAATACAAATCATGTAATAGAAGCCAAAAGAACAGCTATTAAAAACTCAAATCATATAATAGAAGCCAAAAGTACAGCCAACAAAAGTATAAATCATGTAATAAAAGTCAAAAGGACACCATTTAAAAATACAAATAATATAATAGAATCCAAAAGTACAGCCGTCAAAAGTACAAATCATGTAATAAAAGTCAAAAGTACAGCTATTACAAATAAAAATCATATAATAGAAGCCAAAAGTACAGCTTAAAAAATACAAATAATGTAATAGAAGCCAAACGTACAGCTATTAAATATTCAAATCATATAATAGAAGCCAAAAGTACAGCCATCAAAAGTATAAATCATGAAATAGAAGTCAAAAGTACAGCTATTAAATATTCAAATCATATAATAGAAACCATAAGTACAGCCATCAAAAATACAAACCATGTAATAGAAGTTAAAAGTACAGCTATTAAAAAGTACAAATCATGTAATAGTAGTTAAAAGTACATCTAATAAAAATATAAATAATATAATAGAAGCCAAAAGTACAGCCGTCAAAAGTACAAATCATAAAATAGAAGCCAAAAGTACAGCTATTAAAAGTACAAACCATGTAATAAAAGTCAAAAGTACAGCTATTAAAAATATAAATAATTTAATAGAAGCCAAAAGTACAGCTTCTAAAAATATAAATAATATAATTTTCCATATGACATGTCACTGTTTTATATAACATATAAATATCGCTATATTATAGCGATATCTAACAGATATCAACAATGAAATAATGCGATAGAATTCGAGATTACAACACGAGTTATATCCGTGTCATCTATTTTATATCGCTATTCATAAATTCTATCTCGGGAAAAAACTCGGTTTTAAAAGCCAAAAATACAGAAACTATAATTACGGCAACCGTTTATAATTTGAAAACGAGGCGTACTTTTGACTTCTATTATATATTGCTTACCGTATCAAACGAAGATAACAGGAGTTTATTTAAATGTCAACATTTAAATAATATTTAGTCTTTTTTATTAAGCAAGTTGTTTCCTTTAAAAGATAAAATTTATAATTTCTCATGAAGACTAAGTTTACAGGTTTTTGTTTTTGGTTTGTAAGCTTCACAACGTTTTATAACTTTCCACTTTATAATAGGTGTTGTACCTTTTTCTTTTAAACTCCAAATTTCTTTTAAAAGTTCAGTATCATTTTTATATTTGCTCGCATTAAAAGATTTTAAATGATTTGCGTATCTGAGCTTGAATGGTGTCTCACTGATACCAAAATATTATTTTTCTTTAGGATCTGGATCATCAGAACTCACAGTGGCTCGGTAAACAATATTACTTACTAAACATTGGTTGCTTAATAGACAAGCGGTTTTAGTAATACAGTTGCATGTTTTTGTAGTTATATTTCTTTGACTTCGTAAAATCTTGTAATTGTGTGAACTAATAAGGGATTTAATATTTTTCATGCAGCTATAACTAACCTTGATCGAATTTCTATTGAATATTTTGCGTAGTTTGTGATTCACAGAGGTATGTATATATATATATATATATATATATATATATATATATATATATATATATATATATATATATATATATATATATATATATATATATATATATATATAATATATATATATATATATATATAAATATATATATATATATATACATATATATATATATATATATATATACAATTTTAGCCCTGTGACATGGTGGATTATCTTGCTGAAAATTAAATGAAATGCTTTTCTTAAGTATATCAATTGATTGTAACAAGTTGTTATTTAAAAAATCGGCATAATAAACAGAGTAGAGTCAATAATTAGATTTACATAATTTGATTTGAAATAAAAAAATAACCACCAAGTAATTTAATCATACTGAGACCGTAATATGTCATGCAGCACCATATTCCAAGCGACTCACTACCTTGTTTTGTTCTTTGAACGATACAATCAAGATAAAATTTTTCTGAAGGCTGCCTGCGAATTATAGTTCGGTTTTTTTTCAGGCTATTTTTCATTATGCATTTTCATCAATAAGATTATCTGAGTATCAAAAATTTCTAATTATAGAAAAAAAGTTTGACGGAAATTCTAATAAATAAATTTCTAATAGCTGTAGCTGTTTTGTATTGTAACCAGGAGGTTACAATAACTATATTTTTAAAAAAAAAATTCTTTTCAAAAAAATTCTTTCGAATTAAAGTAATTTTAATTTAGAAATTTGTTTAAAAATAAATACTTAATTTTATATCTACATTTATATTTATTTTTATACCTTTTTACATCTGCATTTAAAAATTTATTCAAATTTTTTTAATCCAAGCCAGAGTAAACAAGTGCAAGAGCAGAGAATTGCTCTCTTAAAAAGAACATGGCGACCTACTTGTCTAAAGACATTTTTACGAGATCTTTCATTTTTTTGTGCAAGCTATCTGCTTTTCTTGAAACATATTGCTTATTAAATTTTATAAAATTTGATTTTATACTCATTACCATCATTATATGCTTGTAATGTACAAATACAAATATATATGTATAATATTCTGCATTAATCTTTAGTATTTTACTTATTTGATAAAAAGTTTGACTTTAATGTTTCTATTGTTTAAGTGATAACACACAGTATTCAACACCTGAAAATTTATGAAATATTTTGTTTAAAATTACCTTAAGTGTTTTATTTGGTCTTTCACACAAATTATCCAATTACCCATAAATAACTTTAGTTGTTTGATAAATTTTTGTTACTAATTCTATTACAACTTTATACTTTTTTTATTGTAATAATTATTTTCATTTATATTACTAAAACACCGAAACAAAATGAATATTTTATTATAGAAAAATTTATAAGGTTGACAAGTTGTTAGGCATTTTTATAACTAAAATCATTTCTATAGTTAATATATAATAAAAATTAGTGACTGTTACGCAAAAAAAAATAATTTTGCGTTAAAAATTAAATAAAATTTTTACAAAAAAAATCTGTAAGTCCATCTTTGTCTATTATGAATTTTTATTTTGTCTAATCAATATCTAAAAACCGAATAAAAAAAAAGTGGTTTTTATCTGTAACCAAGTTAGACTTTTTGCAAGAGACCTAAATTGGTCTTTAAACCACTTTAGAGGAATGTAGGCAAGAGCTTAACTTCTTGCTTCCTGCTAAGGTCTAAAATAGATAATAGTTTTAATTTATTTTTTGTTAACACTTGAATTACAAACAGTTAACATTTCCCAACTTTCTGCTTGAATTTTTTTATATTTAGACATTCTTTCTGATAAACCTACAGAAAAAAAAACAGCTTTTCAAAGAAAAAATTAGATGCATGATTCAGCTAATTTATTGTTACTCTGTTCTATAAGAACATTAGGCACTCTATTTGTAGAGTACACTAACATAACTTATAAATATTTTATTTTGTTATTTTTTGACAAGTCAGTTAAAAAAGTTTAAGTTAAGTTTAAATATGCTTTTTTATAGAAAACATATGCTCAGCCATTTACAATTGATGAAATAAAGCTTTTTCTTAAGCATCCGACTGAGGTATTTTATTATTTTTTGTAGTTGATTAGGGAAACTGAATAATATTAAATGGCATTAATGCATCCGCCGGGGTTATCAATGGTATTTTAGTAATTACTAAAATACAGTTACAGTTTCATTTATTTTTAATTACATTTGTTTAATTTATTGATTCCTAAACGATTATAGACTGATCTTAAGTTAGACACAAATCTAGGAACAAAGGTTGACTCTCAATATTTTGACTACTTGATATCTCAATCTACCACATTAGTCAAAGCACATATAGTAAACTAAATTTTCAAAAGGATAACTCATGATATTCAAATTTCAACACAAATTAACCATTCTTTTAGCAAGTAAACCAATCAACATTAAAGGGATTTCTTATTGGTTCTTTTATTAAGAAAGAAATAAAAGAAAGAAACAGGTCTTTTTCTTCTAAAAAAATTTAAAGCACAAATTCAAAAGAAAGAAAATTCTAATATTGTATGCTTTATACATTATTAAAAATTTTGCAAGAAAGTGCACATTTTTGTAAAAATTTTGTAAATAAATTTTGTATTTTGTAAAAATTTTGCAAATAAATTTTGCAGAAAGGTTTCAGAAGAGCAAAATGAGCTAGAAATAAAGACTAAAATGAAAAGGCTACTCTACTTTTAAACATTAAATAATCTATAAACAATCATTTATAATTGGAAATCTAGAACTAATGTATTTAAATTTGTATTTGTATTTGATCAAATGTATTTGATCCCGACCTATAGTAAATTTATACTCATGGTAGACCAGTAAGTTATACCTTATACAAATGTATATACTCTATACAATTATATAGAATTCCTGCTGTACTTATGGTAAAACTCTTTTAATTTGTTTTTGAAAGTGGAAAATATAGAACCGTTATCAGTATCTTCTGTATTTAACAAACTCTTTTACCTTATGTTTTTTGCTTTTTAGGTTTGTTCTTATAGTAGTTATAATAGCAACAATAAATATTTTTTTTATTAAAATATTTTTTCTAAAACTGTTTTAAAACTGTTTAACCATTTTTTTTATTATAATCAAAATATTTTTCTTTAGTATTTATTTTAGGCTTGGTAAAAAACTAATTTAATTAAAGTGTTCATGTTTTTGATTTACTAATTATTAATTATTTGAATTTGGAATTTATTGAGTATGTGGTTTTCATCAATCTAAGTTGTGTATATCTTCACAATGAATAATGTTTAAATGAATTTTTTTTTATTAATTTTTTTTTTAATCAAAAAGACCAGATTTATGTGGTTAAACCACAATCTTTTAAGTGAAATCTTGATGGATGAAGATATTCTCAAAAATGATTATGTTGATTTTAACATGTAATTTTCTTTTAAATTTAGTTATATTGATAGTAATATATTTACATTATCAATATCAGTAAAATAAACCTTATAATTCATATAAAGTTTAAGTAAATATATGGTATTAAAGAGGTTGTTTTTAGTGTGGTCAATTTAAATACAACATTTCATGTTTCTAGTATATTTTTCACAAGATACTCTTATTATTATATTATTAGGGAGATTACCATCCAATGTTTACAAATTGTAACTTTACCAACTTTTTATTTATTAATAAGTTTACCTATAAATTACAGCAAATTTTCAAAATACTAAAAAAAAAGCATTAGCAAAATAATTATTATTTGTTTTTTAAAAATCATAAAAATGTTAAAAAGCTTAACTTGCCTAATGTTTTTAATCTTAACTAAAATCTAATTTTGGGTTAAAATCTACTAGCCGAAAGATTTTTTTTTTTATAGAAAAATAAAAGTCAAGTTTACTTTAGCACTCAATTAAATAAAACACCTAATTTACTACGAAATTAGTTTACTACGAAATTAGTTAAATGCAAAGTAAAAAATAAAATGCCATAACTCAGCATCAAACAAAGTAAACACGACATACACAATTCAAAAGTTAAATTAGCCCTACAAAATCCTTTAATGATTTTTTTTTTGTTATGACTTAATATATTATTCAGCTGGATAAAATATTCACTTAGTTCTATTAACTAAATTAAGTTAAATTGACTAAAATAAATTTCATGTTTACTTTATTTAGCAGCAAGTCAATTTAATCCCTAACTTATTCAAAACTCAATTACAGTATCCCATTTCATAATATCGTTGTCTTGCAGTATTCTAATCAGTTTAACTCTTTTGATTTATTTTTAGATATTTATTAATTTATTTTTAAACTATTTGTCACATTAACGGAGTCAGTCTGACTCTGCAGTACCCATCTACTTGTTAAGAGAATCACATATAATGCCTTATAATGTAAGGCATTATATAATATGCAATGCTTACTTGTCTAACAAACAAGTTAATAATATTAACTTTGCAATGTTATTATGTGCAATATTATCAACGAGGAAAAACACCGAAAAATTCCATTAACTTTTAATTCCCAATAAATATTCAAAATCCTAATAACTATTTCAAACCCTATTACAGTAATTCATGCCCACCTTACTCAAAACTCAAAAAATGTATTATATTCCTCCTACCTTATTCAAAATTGCAATATTTCATGTTTTTCATATAATAAGATAATCTAAAAATATTTCAAATAATAACTGAGGCAATCTGTACAAAAAATAGAAATTTAAACGCATATTTTTGTAAATTGGGCAATCCCTATATAGAATCGCTATACAGATTTATAATCTCTAATTATGTATAACCTGACCTGATTCAATTTTTTTATGTTAGGTCACAATTTTGTTAATAACATAATCCAGTACAACCTGGTTCGTGTCAGCATTAGGAAAAGTATCTGGATGTAAAAATTTGCTTTAACTATTATTGACACTTGAATGGAAGGTGTGGAAAGTGTTTTAAAAATCTCATTTTATTTGAATATTCTAAATATCTAATAGTTAATAACGTCATAAGAATTATGCTGTTTTGTGTTTTGATTCCTAGTGAAAAACTTATGACTATATTCAAAAAAGACTAAATTAAGGTACTATTATTAGATATCTGCAGAACGTCACCATATATTTTTACCATCAAACATTTCTCATAACCACACTTTGGTTCTTAATTTTTTATAAACACTATTTCAATAAGTCACAAGAAATTTCATTTATGTATAATGTGCTAATTTTGAAAACTTCTGCAAAACTTAAATATATTGCCTCTGCATGTAAATCTTGACACTAATGAATTAAAGTGTAATGGATCAAGAAAATATCAAAACATGTGATGAAGTTGTTTCTAAAAAGAATATTATTTTTGATTAGTTTTTATATATATTTACTTTTTTATTTAAACATTTTTAACGCTCTTTTAACATTTACCATTATGTATTAGTGATGAAGTTTTTCCTGAAAAAAAACAGTGTTTCTGAAATTAACTGTGAAATTGTGTCAGAAAGAAAGAATCTTGAATTGTAAGTTTTCTGCAATTTATTATTCTTGAATAACTTTTTAATTTTTTTAATTAAAAAATAATAATTTATTTGTAAAGAATATGTGCAAATTGTATTTGTTAGTGATGAAGTTTTTCCTGATAAGAACAGTGTTTCTAAAAATAATATTAAAGTTTTGTTATAAATGAAGAAACTTAAATCCAGGCTTGTGGAGCTGACTGTTTTTTTTTACGGCTCGGCTCCGGCTTTTAAGAAATATCCAGCTTGGCCCGGTTCTTGAACTTTATGAACGAAAATCGCAAGTTTTAAAACATTTTTTTTGATGGCATTTGCTAACCCAAAACTATACTAGTTACGCAATTAATTTTTCACTAATCCTCATGCTTAAAAGGTTATTGTGTTACTATCACTACTCTGCTACCGAATATTATATTTCAAAATTTTAAATAAACATTTTTTTCTATATATTATTTACCTGTGCCCACTGGGTATCTATTGGGCATAAGATCTTAAAAACACGTATTTTGAACGTTCAAAAGACGTTCAAAATGCTCCAAAGACGTTTAAAAGACCTCTTTTGTAAGTCCCGTGTCCACTGGGTAAAATATGCAATCTTTAAATTCAAAACGATAATAAAAATTCAGAAAAAATGAAAAATAGTTTAACTAATGCAAAAACTTCAATACTTATTTTAATCTAAGGAACTTAAAGATTATAAAAGTGTTTTTTATTTTGATATTTTCCATTATTTGAAAAAAATAAGCAAACATTTATGCTAATCGACGACACCAACTTTTGCACAGTGTCTTTAACTATTTTTTTCCCTAATAATTTCACTCTCTAATCAAATGTTTAGCTGTATTTATTGTTTTGCCAGTCTTACGCAAATATCCTTTGCCAAATACCCCAAACTTTGAATGGGATTGATCTTTACGAAGATTGACAAATTCAGTTTTTTGGTACGAATATGATATCTCTCGAACTGTACCACTTTTCTTAGAATAATGACAAGAAGCAAGATTAGGCCAGAATCAACAGGGAGCATTGTGACTTCCATAAAATTTCAAAAGTCTAGCTTATAAGTATTCTTTCATGTAGTTTAAAGTTGACGATGTGGTAAAAGTTCGAAATCTCAAACCACAGCTGCATATTGCTTGCCAAAATTTAATCTTTAAAAAACTCTGAAACATGATACATTTTAGATCATTCTCTGTATTATAAGCCAGAATTTTGCGTGAATGATCGTTGAATACTAATTGTTGTTTTCTTATCTTTAAAGCCACTCTTTCTTCAAGATCTATTTGCTTGTACGATAGATAGAGAGCTCTTTGATTGTTTTATGACCATATAAACAGTAGTTTTGCTAGATTTAGATCTTTTAGCGATTGAGAGTAACAATGCAGAAGGATTTTGAAGATAGTTCTGCAGAAATTTTTGCATTTTTCTAAATGTTTCAATGACATTTTAATTAAGAGAAAAATTTTGACTCGTTTATTGATGTTTTTAATTAATACTGTAAATACTTAATGTAATAATGCAAGAAAAAAAAATTAAAAATGTGTTAGTGACAAGTTTTAAAAAAAAATCATCGTTTCAAATTTAAAGATCTCATGTTTTAGTATAATTTAAAAAATAAAAATAACCTTTAATCATTAAATTGTGTATCAAATATTTAAAATCATAGTATCAGTATAATAATACAATATAAAGCAATTTATGCACTACTCTAATGTTTTCATAAATAATTTTTTTTTTCAATAAATCATATTATGAAATACTATTAAAGGATAGTATTTTGTTGAGCAAAAAATTGTTAAAATATTCATTTTTATAAAGTTTTGGCTAGACCGTAAGTGTTAGAAAAAATATTACAAAAAAAATAGAAACTCGATCAATGATTCATTTAACAAATCAGTTAAACAATAAATGAACAAATTTTGTCTACAATAAAAAAAAAGACATTTTATTTACTAAAAAATAACAACACAAAATCCGAAAAGCCCTCCATTTTTGCAGCTCTGTCTCTGGTTCTACTAAAAAACAGCGGCTCTATTTCCGGCATGGCTCCACAAGCCTGCTTAAATTATAAAATATTTTCTGCAAAACATTATTCTTTAATAATTTTTGTAATTTTTGGTAATTAAAATTTGATAATTAATTAGTATGATCAAAATAAATATATTAGTCAATGTTAAAAGGGCAGAAGTCCAACTCAAAAAAACTGAATTAGTAGTAAGTTATTGATACACCCCGTAGTAAATTTTTTCAATGGTTTAATAACTTTTTTTTTAGAGGATAATGTTTTTCACCTTCAAAAAAAACTTATTAAACCATTAACAAAAATATACTATAGTGAAAAATGCAATTTTAACATTTTTAACGCCCCTTTAACCTTTTCCAATTCATATGTATTAGTGATCAAGTTTTCCTGAAAAGAACAGTGTTTCTGATAATAACAAGGAAATTGTGTCAGAAATAAAGAATCTTGAATCGTAAGTTTTCTGCAATTTATTATTCTTGTTTAAGTTTTAAAATCTTTTGTAATTAAAAATTGCTAATTACTTGGTACATGACATGATCAAAATTCATGTATAGTGTTTGAAATCAAGAATCTGAAAGTTATTTTATACAAAATATTATTCTTCATTTGTTTTAAAATCTATGACAATTAAAAGTTAATAATTACTTGGTACATGATATGATGAAGATATGTGTTAATAATGAAGTTTTTTCTTAACAGAACAGTGTTTCTGAAAAGAACACTGATATTGTGTTTGAAATAAAAAAATATGAAATCATAAGTTATATAATACAAAATAATATTCATTATTAGTTTATAAATTATTTAATAACTTAAAATAAATAATTACTTGGTACATGATATGTTCAAATTATGTGTTAATGATGAAGTTGTTTCTGAAAAGCAGAGCAAAATTGTGTTGGAAATGAAGAATCTTAAATTGTTCTTTTCTGCAACATACGTTTTTCTTGTTTAAATTTTATATTCTTCAATATTTGAAATTAAAAATTGATAATTATTTGGAACATGATATGACCGAAATATATGTATTAGAGTTCAAGTTTTTCCTGAAAAGAACAGTGCTTCTGAAAAAAACACTGATACTGTGTTTGAATTGAAGAATCTGAATCCGTAAGTTATATAATGCATAAAATATTATTTTTTAGTTTTTATAATCTTTTTAAATTAAAAATTAATTATTTGTTTATGATATTATCAAAGTATATGTGTTAGTAATGAAGTTATTTCTAAGAAGAATAGTCTGAAAAAAGTGTCTAAACAGAAGAATCAGAAATCGTAACTTTTTTTCTGCAATAAATTATTTCTGTTTGATTTTTATGTATTTGTATAACTATTAATTTATAATGAGTTGTATTAAATTCTCTATTTAGTTTCACTCACTATCAGAAGAAGTGCCTTCTTTGTGGAATAATGACTTATAAGCTGCCAGAGCATGCAAGAGATGCGCATAACTATTTAACTGCAAGTTCTAAAGCCATGTTAGGTCAATTCATTTTAAGAAAAAAACAAATTTCAGATGAAAAACCTGTTGAAAAAAAGTCTTACTACGCGAAAATCTGTCCGATTCCAGGTTGCTATATTGTCACTAAAAATGTTGGTGAATATTTTCAAGGCAAACTACATAGCTTAAAACTTGGTGAAAAATATTACTGTCTGCTGAAACAGGCACGTCATTTTGATTCTTCCTTGATTCCTGTTGGTATGCTTACATTTCCAAAAAAAGATTTTGGAGTTAAAAGTAATAATAAAAAATTTCGAAAATCGAAATAAAAAGTCCACATCAAATTTAGAATCTACAGAGAGTTCTGTTTTAAATTTAGTTACGCCTGAGCCTGAACCATCATGTCAATTAAACTCTTTTTTTTGTTGTTGGAATACTTCCAACTTCACGTAATGACTATGAAGTCAATATTAAAAAAGAAAATGTTGTTGCATGACAAATTTTTGAGCCATTAATCATAAACTCAAATATATCATCTACAGAAGAATTTGTTTAAAGTACAGATTCCCAAAAAAGAGTTCCAGATATTTTCGAAGATAGTGAAAATGGTTTCAATGATGTCGAACAAATTTACTATTCTAGCAGTGATTCAGAATTCATTCCTGATGAAAATAAATTAAATGAAGTAAAATATTGTTCGAAATCTATTGAAAACATACTAGAACATTTTTATGGTTACCTTACTTCTCCAGATTGAGGACGTAAACCAAGATCAATTGTTAAAGTGGTTCAGGATGTAAATCGAGTTAGAACTGGAGAAATTTTATTAGAACTGGAGAAATTTCATTAGAACTGGAGAAATTCTCTTGCTTCCATTTTTAAAGAAGCTAAAATTTATATCAGAAAAATTGACTAGGAAAGTATTGCTTTGAACGCAAAATTCTACCAGAAAGTATACGAAAATATCTGAATTTATTTATTGACTTTTGCAAATTTTTATATTCAGAAAATGTTAGTATTGGGGTGAATAGAGAAGAATTTAATGTTACCCTTCGTAAGGTTGAAAATTAGAGAAAAAGTTATTTGCCTTCAGAAAGCCTCCATAAGCAACAAAAGAGGGCTGAAGATTATGAATTGTTAGTTTCATCTGAGGAAATTCAAAAGTATAATAACAGCATTATTGGCCAAAAAGCAATTGAATTATTAAAAGAAGTCCTTCACAATTCTAATATCAATAATAATTAAACAATGAATTGTTGCATGAAGGATCATTTGTTTGTAATTTTTAAATTTGGAAATGCACATCGCTCAGGCGCCATTGCAAATATGAAAGTAAAGGAATATGAAAAGTCTAAAAAATAAAATGATGAAATGTGGAAAGCAAATGTATGGGTTCATAAAACTGTTGAGAAGTACAGAGCAGCAAAAGTGACCATGTTAAACCATGAATATAGACTTTTAGGTACTTTCGTTAATTTTGAGAGAAATAAAAATGATAACCACAATCAAGAAAATGTATTTTTGTCATGGTCTGGCAAAGCAATGACATCTGGGGATATGAGTAACAGAATCGATAGCCTGTGGCGAAAATTAGGCATATACAACAAAAATCAAATGTGCAAACTTTTTAACGCACCGGCTCGAAAATCATAAGAGAAAGCAATCGCAGTTTTTCCAAAGAGGTTGCTCAAAATATGTTGCATAATTGTCAAACAGCAGAAAAACATTATTATTTAAAGCAAAAAAAAAAATCTGCTACTGTTGGTAGTAAAGTACTTAGAGGTCATTTTTATCTAATTAAAAATCAAATATCTGATAGTTTGCCTGCAACACCTGAAAAATGTATAAAACCAGATTTAAAGGAATATACACTTAAAAAATCTTGGAGTTCAAACGAAGTTGCTTTCCTTCATAGCTATATTGAAAACAACCAAAGTCAAATTTTGTAAATAAATTAAACTTAACTTTGATCAAAACTTTTCATTCATTAAACCTTCCACGCGCCAAATAGATGACAAGCTACGAAGCATTGAAAGATATGGTTTCCCTGATAAAAAGGTAAAGATTTTTTTATATAAATGCTTATTTAGTAGTAATAATTGATATTATTTAAGTTAGTTAATTAACTACTTAATTGAGATATTTAAAACTCATTTAAGAGTTTAATATTATGAACTATTTTTAACATTTTTTCTCTTAGCTTTTTTATTTGCTCACTACTCAAAAAAGTTATTTTTATTTTATTTTAAAGTATTTTATTTAAAAAAATAGTTTTTGTGTACCAGAGAATCAAAAAAAGCCATGAAGGTAAGAAGATATATCTTTGAAGTTCAAGTGATTTAAATGCACTTTATAATCATGATGCATCCTTAAATGAAAGTGGTTCGTTATCATTAACAAGGCTAAAGAGTGTTAGATAAATATAATTAGTTTGTTTAAAAGATATAGCATCACGCAATTGAGAACCAAAATAAATAATGAAAGATCAGGAAAAAAGGAGAATGATTAAAAGTTAGTTAAACCAGTATAAAAAAGTTTATTATAAGTAGATTATATATTAGCTAAAAGTAGATTATATATTAGCAATTTCTATAGAAAAAAAAAAAGTTAGTATATAGTTTTGCCTAAGTCACAAATTTTTGACTAATAGTTTAAACAAGAAAGTAAAAATTATTATAAAGGTTTTGAGAGTAAATAATCAAAAAATAAGTTATTAGAAATCATTTAATACTTATTAATTAACCTATATTAAATTACTAAATTATTATTCATTTCTAACTGAATTTAACTTTTTTCAATCAGGTTTCTTTTTTTTAGAAAAACTGAAAGTTTTGTATTCGATCAACTGCCAATTTTATCCTAAAATTTAAGAAATAAATCATTACAAATGGTTGTTATCATCATTTCAGGTATTATTGATCCAGCATACAATACTAGTCGCAGTTCTTTCAACAATTGAAAAAAAGATTTAAAACAATCTAAATCTAAACAAGATCTAAAATGCATAAACTAAGGTTTGAGAAAATTTTGAAAAACAGTTTTTTTAATTGATAATATTTTACATTTTATATTTCCTACTTTATAATATATTCAATATTTAGAATTAATTAATATTTGGAATATTTCCGGAATATCGGATACTTTTAATTTCCGGATATCCAAACATTTTATATACATACGAGTTTAGGTATAACTTTTGTGATATATTTGTTGTTTAAGCTTTTTTACTCTTTACTCATTAAAAAATAAAGAAAAGTTTGAAAAAAAATAGAATCAACTCAACATAAAGAAAAATTAAGAGGAAAATAAGTGAAAATATTTTCTGATTGTTTTACCCAAACAATTTTCCGGATTTTTAAAATATGAACTGGTCTTTTCAAAAATAAATTTAAATAGTTTTTAAATAACTCAATTTTTAAAAGTTAACATCTTAGATAAGTTTTTATATAAATAAATTAAAACATCTGTTCATTGGATACAAACTTATCCTCTTTTAAATATAACACAATATTTCTAAGGGTTATGTATTCTCGTTATTCAACTCAACTAAATAACGAAGGTATATATAACCCCTAGGAATATTGCTTTATATTAAAAAGAATTTTATAAGGATAAGTTTATATAGTATTAACAAATGTTTTAATTAAATGATTTTATAGGATTGTAATAAAAAAAAATTTTTTATAGGATGTAAAAAAAAAAAAAAAAAACAATTATGTGTCCGTCGAATTACATTTTTTCTTTTTCGATGGGCTTAGTTTTAGTTTTGATTAATAGTGTCCAAATTTCTATAGAATCTTATAGATTTTTTCGTCAATAAAGTACCCTAAGTGGGTAATTTACGTATATATCAATATAAGATTTATTTTAAAATTCTGTTGTTGACGGACGTTAGACTGAAAAAAATAAATATTGATTACATACTTTTCTAGAGTCAACCAAAGTTAGGTTTATATATTCTTCCTTATCTTTTTTATAATAAATATTTGAAAAAAGTATAATTACAAAAATAAATCTTGTGTTGATGAAAATACAATGATAGTTAAATCAAAAACATTATCTCCCAAAATACTGTAACGTT